TGAATTTGTACCTTCATTCCAACGTCACGACTTCTTGTTTTTTTCTACTGGGGGGTGGGGGGCGGTGGTGGACTTGGTGTTCTGTTCTGTCGGCTCCCGTGATGCTGCCCTTGTCCGGATCGGTTGGAGCGGGTTGGAGCTACAAGAGCTAGTCTCAAACAGGACGTGGCGCGCTGCTCCGCGGCCTCATCTCATCTCACTGGGCCGCCCGCCACATAGTCCACCTAGTCAACCCGCATCGCACATCCCGTAGTCCTCAGGTCTACCCAGCACCCGGAGACATTGCAGCCCCCAGAGTCTGTGGGGATCCCGAGTCCGTGGACGAGTCCTTCCCGGCGGCTACCGGAGGCCTGACACCAGCCCGTAGGCCCCTGCGAGGCGGGCCGTCAGGGCGCGCGCACGCCCGGCGGGTCTGCCGACCTCCACGGCGCTCTGCTGCTCGCACGGTGTGTGTGCTCAGCTCGCGTACTCTTCTGGCCATCTGACAGTAGAGCGGCGTTATTAATGGAGGAAAACGTCGAAAAAAAAACACAGCAGCTTTTTAGGAATCTAGTATTTTCAGTACTTTTCTTCTGACAACATTTATTTCAAAGTTAAATTATGTCATCTGGTTGTTGTTGTTGTTGTTGTTGTTGTTGTTGTTGTTGTTGTTTTTCTTGTTCTTGTTGTCGTCGTCGTTGTCGTTGTTATTCTTTATTGCCTGTTTGCTGCTTGCCGGCACTTCAACCATACTCAACCATATGCAAAGGTTTTTCTTATAAATGGTAAAGGTAAGGACATTTTTTAGAATCATGATAAATAATATCATTTGATAAATTCTCATTCTATTTTCGGAGGCGGAGTGGCCAAAGCCGTAGTGTTTTGATGACACCTAACCTCTAACCTCAGTTATTCTTGAGCACTTTCTTAGCGGCAACCATTTCATTACAAATATGTGGAAAATATTTCTCAGGGTTTTGTTTTGCCAGACCACATGTTAGCGTTTCTTTGCTACGTTATTACGAAGTGCCCGAAACTAGCCTTTATTACTCGGCCAAGCTGAAGCTTTTTACTGATGTCAGTCATCTTAGTGTTTTTTGTTCCGATTACTTAGTGATTTTACCTGCAGTAAATTTCAGTGTGTATTTTTGACACACAGTTTAGAAGGTTTTTGGTTGTTAACCTCAACACTGGTTTGGTGACCACTATTTTCTTTGAGTTTTAGTCAGCACTTACCAATCAAGACGCGTCTATAAGACGAAAATCCGTTCAAAAAATCAATATTGGTGATATATTTTCATCAAATTAATGTATTTGCCGGTGTTTCCCGTAAAAAATAACCACTTCTCCATTGATTAATCTCTTAAAGTGCCAATTTTTATTGTCTTCAGCTGACTTGTCACCGACAGTCCCTCTCACAAGTGTGCGCAATCTTTTGTCCCAGAACTTGGCCTCTGACCTCCCCGACGCCATCCCCGTGATCCACACGATGGAGACCCCGGACGCTGACGGGGCACCACCCTGCAAGGCGCCTAGACTGGAGGACGCAAGGGTGCAGCAGCTGCTGCGGGACGTGGACGCAGGAAGGCAGGTGGTGAAGCAGCTGCGGGGAGCAGTCGGCCAGCTGCGGCAGGTGCTGGAGTCTCTGGACCACGACCTGAACTCGGCGGTCGCTCAGCTGCAGCAGGTGGAGGCGGCTCTCGAGAGGGGAAAGCGAGGGGAGGCCACAGGAGATGCACCTGACTTTTCGGCAAAGCAGTTGGAGCTGCAGCGACTCCGCGACGCTCTGCGCCCTGTGTTTGTACACTTTCAGCTGGAGAAGGTAAGACATCAAAAGTCCGGGCGAGCTTTCCATGCTAGCGGGCAGTATTACTATAATAGTGGAAGGGGTCTGTTCTGTGAGCCCAGCTGAATGTTTTCTACCTGTCTGCTCGCAGTCGCTGCTTTCGCTGCCGGACCTGCCCCTGCTACGGGTGCTCTCCTACGTGCCGCGCAAGGACCTGGGGGCCGTCGGGGAGGCGAGCCCCCGTCTGGGCGCGCTGATCAGGGGGGACTCGTCGCTGTGGCGGGGTGGCCTTCGTACCTGTTCGTTCTTTAACCAGCATGAGCTGTTGAGATTTTTGAGGGTCACACCGCCTTTCACCCGCATGACCTTTCGATCCAATCGTTTTTCTCGCCATATCGTGAAACTCCCCAGGTGGGGAAGCTAGAGGCTGTTCACCAGTGTCACCGGGCTGTTGAATCGGTGACATCAACATTTCTTACTCTGCGATATATCTGAAGCTGTACTCAACTGATTTTTCTTGCAGGTGTCCGGAAACATGGCCGTTTAACATGCTGGAAGTGCTCGGCGCCGACCCTGACTGCTGCACCAGCATCCTCCGTGAGTTTGGAGCTCGTCTCGAGCATCTGAATATCGTGGGGATACACCGCGGGCTGCAGGTGTTCCTCTCCAGCTTGCGGCATGTGCCCGCTCTACGCAGGCTGCGGCTGAGCTTCGAAAGCTATAACGACTGGTGTGACTTCAGATGGGCAAAGGTGAGGACACTCGCCGCCAGGTTGGGCTCAAGTCAAACACGCGCCGCC